TTCATTTTAAGTAGCCAAAAAAAGTATTTTTCCTTCGTATATGTACCTGTTTAGTTCTTTGAAATAAATTCCTAGAGTTGAAATTTGGAATTTCTGGGTAAAATGGCTTAAAAACACATTACCAAATTCCCTCGGCAAGAAAGTGTGAGTTTGTTGTCATGCCAACAATGCTCATATGCTTACACTCTGCCAACACTGAACGTTATCAATCTTTCTAAAGTTTGCCAAACTGAGAATCAAAACAACTCATTGCTGTTTTCTCTTACATTTTAATTAGATTCAATGCTTTGGGGTTTACATTTAAATAAAGGTTTATTTCTATAACATAGTTACAATAGTTATAATAACTTGCAATAATTAGAAATAAGCATTTCTTGATGTCTCTGAGAGGCAAAAATTACCCTAATAACAAAATAATATCTGTAAATTCATAACAAAACTAAATCAAAATCCACCCCTTACCACATTCTAACATATTTCACTAGAATTAAATACAGTATGTCTTTTAGCACATGAAACAGACATTAAAAATACAGTAACCGTTTTGAAGAGAAGTGGCAAACAGCGTTTCTCAGGAGAGCCTAAGACGAAGAACATTCATCATTGCGGAATGACTTATAAGCTAATCTGCATCAAGGCAAAATAATAACTAGATTTCTCTGAGGTCCTGTGATGGTACAATTGTGTGTTCAGTGAGTCACATAATGAAAAGAGGGAATCAGTAATTAGAAAAAGAAACTCCTATGGGCTATGGCTTCATGATTTGAGTCCAGAGGAGAAACCCTGGGGAAAAAAACACACAAACGAGATACAAGCCAACATTCCAGCTCATGTACTGACACAAACTCCTTCACTAAGAAAAGGAACGCAATGGCAGCTGGGAATGGGAATTTGGTTGTTAATATTTCTAAAAGTTGCAACCACAGCTTTCAGGAAAAGAAACATTTCTGATGGCAGAGGTAAGAACGGAGATTAACCCACACTTAAAATCTGCAGTTACTGTAGAAGCAAAGAGTCGTGGTCAAAGTGAACTCCCATTCTGACAGAAGGGTAGAACAACCTCAAAGGCCAATGTGACATTCTTAAGTAACACCCTATGTTTTAAAGATATTCCTTTGCCTAACACGGAGAAAGAAAAAAAATAGAATTGTATAATTTAGTCAAAAAAAGTCGTACAAGATATATGCTTTATGTCCATGGGTTTCTGAAATCATATGCTTTTTAAAAATCTTAACCTTATTCAAGTTTACCCCCACAATATAATATTTGCCATTACCAAACTGCCACAATAATTGCTCTCAAAAGATAATAACAGATTACAAGGTCTAACAGATTGTAAAACATAATAGAATGCAGTCAATTGGGTTTAACAACAAACACTACAGCAAGCATATCAAACTCGCCGCCGGCAGGCCATATGCCTTGTCATGCGGCCCGACGGCCGCGAGTTTGACATGCTTGCACTACAGAGCTTGAACTGTGATAACAATTGACAGAACTGTTTAACTTATTGAGAAAAACCTGCTGGATCAGTAAGGCATTGCTGCGTCATTTCTCAGAGAGGAAGGCACACAGTCACTAGCAAGAAAAATCACAAAATGTGTGAGCAAACACCAAGACAGCAGATGGTGCACATGTGCAAACAAAAGCGGTTCCTCTGGGGCCCTGGCTTTTATATCAAAGTAACATTACACTTGCCGAAACAGGTTTGGCTCAGTGGATAGAGCGTCGGCCTGTGGACTGAGGGGTCCCAGGTTCGATTCCGATCAAGGGCATGTACCTGGGTTGCGGGCACATCCCCAGTAGGAGATGTGCAGGAGGCAGCTGGTCGATGTTTCTCTCTCATCGATGTTTCTAACTCTCTATCTCTCTCCCTTCCTCTCTGTGAAAAATCAATAAAATATATTAAAAAAAAAAGTAACATTACACTGTGCAGATGTCAAACTCACAGCAACCCAATTCCCTTCTCTAATACAGGCTGCCCATTTTTAACAGACATTCAGTCTAAAAGAAAAAAAGGAAAAATCAAATTTTCTAAAACAGGTTTATTTTCAGAAAAGCTGTTTTGTCTCTCAGTATCAGGCAGATTTTTTAAAAAACTGTTTAACTGGTATCATATTTTAGAGGTGTGTATAAACAAATTGACAGCAACTAAAACAATTTTAATGGCACATTCAGGAGCTCACATTCAAAATGACATTACTGGTAAGTTCTTTTTTGTGCGTGAATTCAAATTCTATGTTATAAGCCAAGTAGCAATGCTTTGTTCATGTTAATTCTTAGCAAATAATTTGTTAAATTTAGTTATGTTTTTCAAAACAGTTAAAATCCTAACACATGAGATTTTTGGGCAAAGATACTGACATAATACTACTTCAGGAAGATGTTACTATAGCCAACATATTGCAATAATTTCCTAAAGTGATTTCTGAGACAATAACCTAGATCTAATGTTAGTCACTGCCTTTTATGAACGTTATGATCATTTCAGCACAACTGCACTGGTGCTGATTCTGCCAGTAACCACAACTCACTAAAGCACTTGGCAATTCCACTCCCGTCGGTGTCCACACGGATGGGCAGGAGGAAGTGTTAGCATCCACTATACATCTTACTCACGGTCTCATTAACTCTGGCCTTTTCACTGTTTCAGTATCTCAGGAAAATGAGGATCCAAACATCAAGCTAACCTTCCACAAACTATTCACCCTAAAATTTGAACTATTTTTCATCAGGAAGATCAACTACCTTAAAAATCTACTTCCAGAAAACTTAACTGGCTGCTAATCTAATCAAGCTATTAGTAAAGCCAGATACACAGAAACAATAAAAATAGAAATGGAATGAATGGAACTCTAATACTGCAGGAAACTGTTACAGAGAGAAAAACAGGATTACAACAAACATACCATTTAAAAGAAGTTGCACATGCCTCCTGAGCAAGAGGATTCAGGAATTATAATAATTAATTTAGGTACCTAATATGTTTACTAAAATTCACTTTAATGTTGGGCATCCTTAATTATCATTGTCTAAACCATTTGCTTCTCTGAGGCTGCCGCATGGTTACCTCAGACATCGATATGAATTCCGTGTTTTGAAGACATCACCTCTCTGGTCCCTGTTAAGTACATGACCAAGGAGCAGATGTGGGGTAAGGATGCTGTGCTTACTACATAGAGCCAGAGTGGCAAGGGCGGAGTTTTCCCAAAGGGGCATATCCACAGGCCGTGCCGAAGGCCATCGCGGATATGGTGTGAGGTCCAGGATATGAAGACCATCCAGGGAAGGAAGCACCAGGAGTCCTTGAGCTTGAAGAGGTGCATGGTGCACCTGAGGGTCAGGACCACGGCGGGGATCACAGTAGAACAGTGAAGGAAGGGTCTCCGTGGAAGAGTCAAAGCAGCCTGCGGGGAGGGCGAGGAAGCAATACCTCCGTCATTTCCTTCTTGGCAAACAGCATGTTACACATGCTTCTTAACGCTCTAAAATATTTTCCTGCCTGGACAGGGTGGCACAGTGGTTGTGTCAACCTATGAACCAGGATGTCACCAGTTGGATTCCCGGTCAGGGTACGTGCCCAGGTTGTATGCCCAGGAGGGGGCGCGCAGGAGGCAGCCGATCAATGATGCTTCCCTCTCGTAGACATTTCTCTCTATCCCTCTCCCTTCCTCTCTCTCTACAAACCAATAAAACCCATATTAAATCCTAAATGTATAAGGTTTGAGTAATTTTGGAGTTTTAAAGAATTGTCCTCTTAGAGTGTTGAAAAAATCTCACAACCAAATAAAATGTTCTTCAGTTAATATAAAGGCACAAAAGGGGAATATTTTGTAGTAATCACTTTATATTAGCTTTGAATACTTTCAGAATTTATTTACAACATTTAGAAAGATTATATTATTTTAAATAAGTATTCTAAAGTTGAATTAAATAAACTTCAGTGAAATTTCTAAACCATTGCAAAAAAAAAGGTAACAAAAATATCTAATCAAATGAAAAATTCAGACTCAACCCCTGAATGAGCCCTGAGTAAGGCTTTGTTCCCACACAGTCTAAAGGCTAATTTGCCACTAGAGAAGATTGCCTAAATCTGAATCAACCACACATCCTCAAAACATTACAGAACAGGATACATAAAACCTCACTCAGCACACACAGAAGTCAGAGAATGCTCTAACTTCCACTACTCTAAAGTATTAAACACCACCAAATCATGAGCTCTGTCTCATACTCCCACCACAAGCCAGGAAAGACTGATTGAAGAAAGATGAAGAGAAACAGGAGACTGATCTAAAATTGACACTACAGTGCTCGCTTCGGCAGCACATATACTAAAAAATTGGAACGATAGAGAGATTAGCATGGCCCCTGCGCAAGGATGATACGCAAATTCATGAAGCATTCCATATTTTTAAAAAATAAAAAGAAATAATAATAATAAAAAAAATTGACACTACAGCTCTAGCTGGTTTGGCTCAGTGGATAGAGCGTCGGCCTGTGGACTGAAGGGTCCCAGACTCGATTCCAGTCCAGGACAGGTACCTTGGTTGCAGGCTCAATCCCTGGCCCTGGTGGGGGCATGTGCAGGAGGCAACCAATCAATGTGTCTCTCTCACATTGATGATTCTCTGTCCCGCCCCCTCCCTTCCACTCTCTCTAAAAATCAATAGGAAAATATCTTCAGGTGAGGATTAACAACAACAAAAACAAAAAAATAAAATTACCACTACAAAGAGGAAGCACAAGCTATGTACGAAAATACTGAAAAGGGTCCCGTTGGTCCGAGCACTGACCACAGGGAAAGGATTGAAAAGTGTGCATGATTCGGGGCTTTGAAAGGCATTGGTTCTGCGGATGAAGATGGTGACAAGAAAGGGAGAGGTATCCATTAGAGATTGGGGGGGGGTGGGGGGAGGAGGGGAGAGGGTGGTGGTAGGAGGGAGAAAATAGCAAAGAAAAATATTTAAATATCTATAAAATAAATTAGAGGACACAACCCTCCCCCACATTAAAAAATAATCATCCATTAAAGAGACTGTACCTTGTCACACTGCCAAATCAGACTCCCTGGAAACTGGGAACCGTGCAATCCCCTGCTTAAAACAGATTTCTTTAACCCTGACCTACTGACTGAATAGCACAGAGTTTACTCTACATTCCTCTTCCTTCTCCCTTCCCCTCCATGTTTTCGGTTATTGTATTCCTAATTTGTCAGATCACATAACTTTTCTGCATGATTATTCGATTTTTGTCTCCACCTTGGTTTGTAAGCTCTCCACGCACAGAATATCACGCTCCCCGTCAGCAGGGGGACCAGGAGGCCTCTGGCAGTCGCCGCCTGGAAGAGAGCCGGACCCTGAGGGGAGCTGCCTGGCGCTCAGGCTCCATGTGTGCAGAGCAGGGTCCCTCCGCACATTCTGTGGAGTCTGTTCACACTAACAGATGCTGAAGAAGAAATGGGAGATTTCTGTTGCTTGGCTGATTATCAAAGTATCAATGCAGATTTTTTACTCATAGAAAAACAATGTCTACAATGTCTAATGAAAGAAGAAAAGGACATAATCATGAAATTATAGAAGTAAAAATAGATCACTTAAAAACAGAAGTAAAAATAGATACCAAAAATGAGTATCATAAATATTTATTCTGTTTTGATATTTATTTACTGATGACCATATACAATCTTATGGTGAATGTGAAAGCATTTTAATACTTCACTCAAAAATAAGGTTCAATAAGGGGGCTGGGTGATAAAACAGGTGAAGGGATTAAAAATATATATAAATAACACATAGACACAGACAACAGTATGGTGATAGCCAGGGGGACAAGGGGTGAGGGAAGGGGGCAGGGGGTGAGGGGAGGGCAAAGGGAGGATAAATGGGGATGGCGAGAGACTGCTTTGGGCGACAGGTGCACGAGCAGTGTGCAGATGATATTTTGTGAGTTGTATACTTGAAACCTGTATGGTTTTGTCACGCCAATAAACTCAATAAAAAATAAATGTACTGCCGAAATCGGTTTGGCTCAGTGGATAGAGCGTCGGCCTGCGGACTGGGGGGTCCCAGGATCAATAAAATATATTTTTTTAAAAAATAAATGTACTGATTAAAACAAAAAGGATCAATATCAGAACGATGCTATACTTTACAGCAGGTGCCCTCAAACTTTTTAAACAGGGGGCCAGTTCACTGTCCCTCAGATCGCTGGAGGGTCGGACTATAGTTTAAAAAAAAACTATGAACAAATTCCTATGCACACTGCACATATCTTATTTTGAAGTAAAAAAACAAAACGGGAACAAATACAGTATTTGTATTTGCGTGTGGCCCGTGGGCCGTAGTTTGAAGACCCCTGCTTTACAGGCACTATCTCATTTAATTCTTCTAACAATCCCATGAGTTGGGGTTATTTTACAAAGAGGAAATGGAGACTTAGGAGGCTAAGTAACCTCCCCATGCTGTGGATTTGGTGGCAGAGCTGGGGTTGAGACTAGGTCTGCCCCACCCTCTGGCTTGTATTCTTTTTCTTCTTTTTTAAAATATATTTTATTGATTTTTTACAAAGAGGAAGGGAGAGGGATAGAGAGTTAGAAACATCGATGAGAGAGAAACATCTATCAGCTGCCTCCTGCACACCCCCTACTGGGGATGTCCCTGCAACCAAGGTACATGCCCTTGACCAGAATCGAACCTGGGACCCTTCAGTCCGTAGGCCGACGCTCTATCCACTGAGCCAAACCGGTTAGGGCAAGGCTTGTATTCTTAACACTACGCCTTCTAAATGAACCAAAGAATAAATTCAGCATAAGGCCCAAATATCTTAAAAATTACAATAAAGTAGTTAAATTCTCAATGAATGCATTTATGAACCATACTTTCCATAATGCTTCATAGTTTATCCCAATTATAATAATAATCTCTAACAATTATCTATAATAATCTCTACAATTATTATAGATTATCTACAATAATCTATAATAATCTATAACAATTATTGTAAACTATTTGCTAAGGTGTGTCATTTAACATGCTCATTTAATCCTCACAACAACCCTCTGATATAATTAACATTATAATCCACATTTTACAGATGGGGAAATTGCGATTTAGAGAACTAAAGGTGTGCTAACATTACATCCTAGGATTCAAACTCAGGTCTTCTGACACCAATCTTGTGTGCTTCTGCTTACAGCAAAAAAGTTAAAATTAGTCTTTAACTGGGAATTACAGATTCTGTACTGGTTAAGTCTCTAAACAAGTAAGACAACCTCTGATAATACCTGATACAGCTCTTGACACATCACAGGAAGAAGCAATCAGTTATCCTTTGCTCGACAA